GGTGGGTGAGGGTGTGAGTGTGTGAGTGAGTGTGTGTGTGTGTGTGTGTGTGTGTGTGTGTGTGTGTGTAAATGAGTGTGAGTGCATGAGAGAGAGTATGACAGAATTTACATTTTTGGGTGAAATACCGCCTTTAATTTATCTATCTGACTGTCTTGAAACATTAAACAGGGTGTTCCTGGGTCAGATATAGTCTTTGATATAGTGAACAACTTTTCTCTGATTATAAGTTGAGGAGAGTGAATTGTGTACTCAAATGGTTCTCCAGTGAGATGTGTGACATTCAGGTGAAGCAAATCCAGCTTTGCAGATCAGAAATATATTTAGCAGAGGTGGGTACCTGTCGCAGTTTTTGTTATGCCTTGTCCAAAAACCCACACTTGCGGTCTTGGCCACTTGAGAGCGCGTAAGTGCGCAAGACTGTCCCAGGTCTTAAAACGGCAAAGCGCAGTGCCCTTAACGCACACTAAATCCACACAATCTCTAATACCGCTCCGGAGCACTATTCGAGGCTTAGTGTATCCCATCATGCACCATGTTCTGGAAATAAATCATGAGACTTTTTGCCGAGATCTCGCGAGAGGTCACGGAAACCTTTCCAATGTACGTTAAATATTAGAAAAACGGTGTTTTTAAGTTTTATTGGTGCAAAGATGAGTAGTGGTGATATTTATTTTGTACACCATTTGCAACTGATTTTTATCACTTAATTAGAAGCACCACAAATTAAAATTATGTCATGTTATAGGGACGACTGAACAGACAATTAGTCTGAAGTTGCTTTTAAAATGCAAAGTATTTAAAATTAAAATTAAGCTATGTAAACACTTTTATTTTTACAACACTATAAGTGTGTCCCATCAGGTAATGAAAAGTAGTCTGTTTGCACCGTTGTCACCATCTGGTTAGTTGTCATGGTTTTTGATTTGATTTCGTCATTCAGTTCAGGTGTGTCTAGTCATTATGCTAGTTTGATCTGTGTATTTAAGTTCCTGTCTGTTCAGTGTTAGTTTGTCGGGTCTCATCAATGTTATGTGTCACCAGCCTTCCCTTACCTTGGAATTAGCTCTCTGTGGATTTATTAAAGGTCCCATATTGTCAAAACTGAAATTTCCTGGCTTTTTTCCTTTGTTTAGCTGCCTCCAGCTAGCGCTGTGACGTCGCTGACCCTAGTTACCTGTGGTTGGCCTGGCCGTGCGTCACTCAGAAAACAACAAGCCAATCAGAAGAGAGGCTCATGAATAATAATTAGACAGGCCAAAATCGACCTGTTCTCAGCAGAGCTCCTGAGAGAGGAGCTGTAAAAATATATTGAGATGGTTTTTGGTACTTATACCGCAAATATATATTCTTAAGGACATCAAAACCTAAAATAAAACTCCAGAAAAGTGTACAATATGGGACCTTTAAAGACTGTTTTCCTTCATCTTCGTCTTCGTGCATTCATCGACACAGTATCGTGACAGTACCAGAAACGAGTGGAGTTATATTTACAACAAACTGTACTTGATTATTTATCCATCATTGATGATTACACTTCTTACATATACACTTTTTTATAATGATATACAAATGTATTATAATACTTAAGTATTAATATGACTACAATTCTAAATTATTATAACAATTAAATAAATTATTTAAAAAAAATTATGAGCAATATTAGTCAAATTATCCATAAGAAACCGTTTTACTGTGGTGAATGAAGTTTGAGGTTGCGGCGGTCATGTTCAGGTTGCAAACTGCATACACCAAACATCTTTTTTATGAATATGGTCCATTTCGAAGTGTTTATATCCAAACAAACAATATTCGTAGATTCTCCTCTACCCCTGTATTGCTCTGCGTGTAACGGGGAAAAGAAACTTGTAATGAATTGTGCCAAAATGATTGTTCATATAGCAAAATAATTCTAAGATATTAATTGAATAGAATGTATTAAGTGCATCTAAAAGAAAGGGATATGGGGACACCTACAGGTGACTAAGGTAACCTATTAGTGGAGTCGGCCATTTTCTCCTCAGTCGCATGAAAGCTGTTGAGGAGAATGGTAGGTGTAAAATCTCTCTCCGGTCGAACAGAAATAAAATGTTGTCAGAGATTATTTTATTTCTCTTTGAGGTCAAAATTGTTATTTTAAAAGTATTTTATTTCATATTTGAGTCATACGAGATATAGAGTTGACGGATAATTGATGTTTTATTCTGAACGCGCTGTCGAGTGCATTAGGAGCACATGGTATTCGTTGTGTTTCTGTCTCTGTATTTTCTCATTGCTTATTTTCACATGTATATTTATTTTTTGACAGTTATGAGACCGGATGAGCTGTATTTCATGTCTGTTTGGTGTCATTTCATATATTCCAGGTATGATGTATGAATGTTCTTATGATGCTATATTTTCTATGCTCAGAAAACAACAGAAAAAGAAATTGAGCTCTTAATTATGGAAAGACTGATTTATTGTTTGTTGAACTGGTAAATCAGTCGCATTAAAGCTGTTGAGGAGAATGTTATGAGACCGGATGAGCTGTATTTCATGTCTGTTTGGTGTCATTTCATATATTCCAGTAAACGTGATGAGTGAGCTCAGCCTACGTCTCGGTGTTGTCCTTTCCGGATGGGTTAAAAGAAAGAACCAGAAAAGCGGGGTTATATGCGCTTGCTCGCTGGCGGCGCAGAGGCGGAGCACAAGCGGTGCTCATCCACCCAAAATCCTGCCGCTTCCACGAGCACGGTTCTTTGTGCCAGTCACCACCAAAGATAAAAGTATTTTATCTTTTTGTAAGCGGCAGCCGCGTCGGCTTTAAGCAAGGTTATTAACAACCAATCATAGAACATTTCACTGAGCTCATGTCAGAGTGTTGAAAACATGATGAAGATCATTCTAAATGTAACAGAATTCACAGAGTTGTATGATCCATCAAAATTCTCTAAATAACCTAATTTATTTAGAGGGCATCACAAACACCACATCTACTGCACAAAACACATCCACTACGAGAGAAAGCAAGTCAAGTCAAGTTGAGCTTTACTGTCATTCTGCTACATGTGGGGGCATACAGTGGAAGGAAATGTCGTGCCTCACAGGAACACGGTGCTACATAAATACAGACATGCAACAATGAAGTAAAACAGTATAAACCTAAACACAGTTACTGAGAGAGTTTGACTATAAATATACTACTGTATAAATAATTACCTATACATAAACTAGAGAATACAAACTACAAATGCTTCACATAAATACTTTACATGTGCGGCGATTTCACCGCTTGCCGCATCCTGTGTAGTCCGGTTGTTGAGAGGCATCGCGGCAGCGTTAATTATTCAAATGCAAGCCGAAAGTTATAATTTTGTTTTTTTGAGTGACAAACACGTAGACGGGTGGGGGCACACTGGGGGGCCAATCAGTTTTCAGGGGGGCCCCCAAGTGCCCCTCCCCTTTCTACGCCACTGTTGGGGAGGAAAAAATAAAGGTGGGTTATTTTTTAAAGGGAACATAACACACAGTTTTACCCAAGCTCATGTTAATCTTGAGTACCTATAGAGTAGTACTGCATCCTTCATATATCCAAATAGCCTTTAGTTTTATCATATTTATAAAAGAAAGATACAGCTTTACGGTTCTCTCTGGAAAAAGCCGAGCTCCTGGAGGCGTGTCGTGGGCGGAGCTAAAGATTGACAAGCATTTGAGCTCCGACTGCCAACAAAACACAGACATTTGATGCAGTTTCACTTACCGTCTGCATTTCTGAATCATGACCGGGATCTTTTATAGCTGGGACCGCTCCATCTTTCAGTATCAAACGATGTGCTAATCCAGCCTCGAACTGGGCCTTGTTTATAAAACGTTCGTCAACAAACACGCTTGTGAAACTGCGTTGCTGCTCTGGAAAAACAAACTGCATCTACTGTTAACACTGGGTTCTTTAGGAAGCTGAACAAAGTTCTTTCCCTTACAACCAAAAACACACTTCTTTGGAGACATTCTTCCCGACCGAGTCCCGTGTAGCGCTGCCGAATGAAGCGCGTTGATGGGCATGATCTTGCTCTCGCTCTGGTCGATGTGTGCGTGGGCGCGCTCTTTCGGGAGAAATGCCCATATAAGGAGTTTCACCCTCTTTTATGTCATGAAGAGCCACAGAGCTAAAAAAAAACCTCAGAAACTTGTACAAACCCAGAAGTAAGATTTTTAGCACATAAATATTCTGTCATACGTCCATGCTTGGCATGAGAATCCTACTCTTTAACAGTGTAAACAACTCTGAATGCATGAAACAGCATTGTTGCTGTTACCTGATTGGCCTGAGTAGATGGTGGGTGGAGTCACGCATTTGTGGCTTGTCAGCGTCTTGACACTAGAAATGTTTCAAAATCCACAAATGCGTGCAGCGATCTACAAATGTACAGGACACGATTCACAAATGAATGGCAGGCAAAGTTGTGTTTGTGACATAAACATGTATTTGTGAGTATGTTTTTTATTTGCAAATCTCATTTTATTTATTTGTTAATTTAATGTTTGTGTGAATTTATTTGTGGATCTCATTCTAATTATTTGTCAATTTTTTGTAAATCTCTTTACATCATAATTTATTTATTTGGAATAATGCAACAATTCTACCCGCATAGATCTGTGATATGTGCTTCGCACATGCGTATTAGCGCCCTCTTCGATTGTGTAAATTTTAAGTACATGCACTTCTCCAGTCCGAAGATATCGGTGAAAGTTTGTTTTCTAAGATAAGTTTTTCACTTCACCACTACCCCTTCCACACTGAATAGCTTCTCAACCTTACATGACTGTTAAAGTTAAAAGGGTTAGTTCACCCAAAAATGAAAATTAGCCCTTAAATTACTCACCCTCAAGTCATCCTAGGTGAATATGACTTTCTTCTTTCAGACGAATCCAGTCGGAGTTATATTAAAAATGGTCTTTGATCTTTCAAGCCATTTAATCCCACTCAGTGGGTGTTGCATTGCTTCAGTCCAAAAGAAGTTAAATAAAAAAACGCCCATCCATAAAAAAAGGCCTCCTGTAGTGAATCAATGCATTTTTGTAAGAAAAAAAATCCATATTCAAAACATAATAATCACTTGAATCTAGCTTGCGCTCACTGTTGTACATGGAAGCAGTTCCGGGAAATGATGTATGAGGTCGGCTTTGCGCATGCGCTGCTCAGAAGTGATGAACGCGAAAGCACAGCGGAGAGATCAAAACAAAACAATGGTCAATTATGAGAAGTACAAAATGAGGATTTGTAAAGAAGAATGTCGGAGGATTTCGATATAAGCCAAGAGGAGACTGGTTTTCCTTTGCTAAAGTAAGGAAACTTTGCTTCCTTTGCTCCTGTTAACAAAATTTGGTTTTCACGAGACTCACCG